GATTTAGCTCAGCGGCAAAGCGCCTGCCTGGCAAGCGCAAGGTCGTGAGTTCGGTTCCCGGTACCGGAGAAAAAACCAAAAAAAAAAAAAAAAAAAAAAGAAAATATTTTGGTCTCTGTTTGCATTGTCATATTTAAAATACCCCAAATTTGGTGGCTTATAAATACCAGATACTTATTCCTCACCATTCTGGAAGTGTTAACCCAGGATCAAGATGCCAAAAGATTCCATGTCTGGTCAGGACCACCTCCTGGTTCATAGATGTTTTGTGTTACACAAAGGGTTAGAGGGCTCTCTGGGAGCTCTCTCATAAGGGCACCAATCCCACTCAGGAGAGCTCTGCCACTAGATGTGGGGGCACATGCCTGTTATTCCAGGTACTTAGGAGGCTGAAGCAGGAGAATTGCAAATTCAAGCCCAGTCTTGTCAACTTAGACCCTGTCTCAAAATACAATTTTGAAAATAGGATTGAGGGGTAGCTCAGTGGCAGAGTACTTGCCTAGCAGGTGCAAGGCCCTGGGTTCAATCCCCATGAGGTTTTTCTAGGGGGGAGGGAGGTTCCACGTTCATGATCTAATCAGATCCTGAGGCCCTCCTCCTCACATTAGCAGGTAGGGTTTCAACATAGGAACCTCAGAAGGACATACACATTCAGTCCATAGTGACTGTTAAATACCTAGAGAATTCCAAAGAATTAAAACACTACTATAAGCAATATAACATATTTATTAAAATGTACACTTTCAAAATTAATATTCAATAATCTGTAGTTTTCCTACTCACAAACAGACACTGGTTAGAAAACACAGTGGGAAAAAAATTTCATTTATGATAGCAACAAAAATATAACACATATAGGAGTAAGCTTTATTGCAAAATATGTACTATCACTGTAATACAAACTATAGTGCTCTACCAAATAAAATGTGTCATTTAGAAAATGATATTCTAAAACTGTCAGTTTCCCAAGTTAATTCATAGGTTTTTTAAATTTTTTTTTGTACAGGAATCGAATTCATGACCTCAAGCTTGCCAGGCAGGCACTTATGCCGCTAAGCTATATCCCTGGCCCCCCTATGTTAATTCATGAGTTTAGTACAGTTGCAATTAAAATTCCAGCAGACTCTATTTGGAACTTTTCAAAATTAGTACTACAAGTGTAACAAATAAACGTTATAACTTCTAAGTACAAAATAAATCACAGAGCAAAAGAGAGAAATCTTTGCAAATACGTACCTATCAAATACAGTTTTATAATTTGTAAAATGCTTCAACAAAAAGTAAAGAGCTCAACAGAAAACAATTATCACCAAATACAAAAAGGCAGACCTTGCTTGGCAAGGGAATGTAGCAGCAGATGTGAAAGTTGTGGGTAGGGCCACAGGGCACCAGGTTGACTGCCAGCTGTGGGTGTGGACTGAGCTCCAGACACTCTCACTACAGCAAGGAACAACAGCCAATTTCCTGAACACCTGAGTACGCCAGGGACTGTGCTTAGCATTTTATGTATACTAGTGGGTTGAACCCTTGTGCCAACTCTTGAGATGAGCATTATTGTAACCCCACTTAACACACAAGGCACAGACTCATCAGGTAGCCCATGAGTGGCAGCAGCCAGGCAGCCCGGTTCTGCCAGGGACAGCAGGGATGCATGCCTAGGGCTCCTGGGGTCCAGCAGGATGGTGGACAAGCCCTAAGCAAAGACCCTGGCTCACTGCTGAGGTGCAGAATGCCTGCCTACAGTCTGAACACAGATGAACTGCAGTGGTTTCATACCTTGTATGGAAATTTCTTCCTCAATCAGCTGCATGCTTTCTTCCTTTTTAATAATAGGTCTGGGGCAGGGGATATAGCTTAGTGGCACAGCACCTCCCTGGCAAGTGCAAAGTCCTAAGTTCAATTCCAGGTACCAAAAAATAATAATAATAGGTCTTTTTGTCTGTCTGGGCCCAAATACAAAAAATATTTCTGAAACAGACCTAGGGAACCTTGAAAAAAAGAAAGAGTTCCAGAACTTAGGAAATCACATGAGCATTCATCAAAACATTGCCTTCAGAGAGTCCATTGCCTATCATATAAGAGACATTCATTTTTTTTTTATTTTAAAGAGTAAAAGAAGGATAACATAATAACAGGAGGGGCTTACCAAATTACAGACAAAGTGGTAGGAAATTATCAATGGTTATTGTTTTACATATTGTTATCTATAAGATAGTTTCTCAGGAAAACAAATAGACA